CAGATACCACAATTCTGTTGATGCAGAACAGTGATAGATTTGGGAGGTAGGGAGGAAATGCCTTTTTAAAATATTGTTTGCACTCATTTTTCATTTTAAAGAATTAGTCCTCATTGGAGTTCTGCAGGTTAAGCATTTTATTTGAACATTTTGATTAAACTGGAAGCTGAATCAAAATGAGTCTCTGCTCAGTCCTCCTGTGTAGAAATTGGTATTTCTATTTATTACCTGATGATGAAATACTAACTTTTTTCCTCTAAATAAATGCCTCTTTTTAATGGTTCTCGTTTTCAGGGATCGGCTTAAATTATGGGATGCCAGTGAAATGGCCATTGGCTTTCTGCTATTTGAGACAATGGCATGTTCTCTGTTATTACATTATACCATTCAGTGGGCGTGCAGGGCACGTTAATTGTGTCCACAGTGAAATAAATGCTCTATGTGCCAGAGCCTTTTCCATAGGGACATCTGTATGGGACACTATTGAAAAATAAGATTGAGGGTGGGATGAGTGGTTACAGTTTCTCAGAAGAGATGGGTGTGACACAGGCTGGAAGGAGATAGCCACCTCTCACATTAATGATGAGCTACAATGTGGAAGAGGAGAAGGAAAATGAGAGGCACGTGACAGTAGCAGAGGTGGCAGACGAGTGAGGCAGAAGAATGGGACAGATGACTTGGCAGCTGTGTGCAAACAAAGTCAAAAGCTAGGGTGAGATCCACAACACTTGCAACACACAATACACAGCTGGGAAGCAGCTTGAAAGAAAGCTAGTGCAAGGCATGGCTAAAGAGAAGGCAATTCTGCCCCAGTGAAGGCGGGAATTCTCTGGAGGAACAAACAGACTGGAAGGGGAGGAGGAGGAAAAATGGTTTTCAATTATCCATGTGATCTTTCCCTACCAATCATTACAGATGATGAATAGGTGCAATAAAAGCCAATATTCAATTTTTCCAATTTACATGGAAAGAAGACCATAATATATCGTTAAGGGGAAGAAACAGCAAGTTACCAAACAGTGTATATAATACGATCTCATTTTTGCAATATATTTGTCTGCATAGAAACAGTCTGGATGGATTTACGTGGAAATGTTAACAGTAGGACTACAAGTGATTTTTATTATTTTTCTCATCTGTATTTTCCCCAATTAACCTGTATCATGAATGTAATAAAAAAAAAGAAAAGTCATTATTTTTAAACTTCATTTTGAATCATTTAGATTCAACCAATGTGTGCAGAGTACCCACTATGTGCTGGGCATGAGAATTAGTGCTTTTCTCAGCAGTCAACATACAGTTAGAGTGGATTTGTCGGTAAAAGTCCACTTTTCCTGGCTGCTTTTCAGAATTTTAGACTCTTAAGAGTGGAAGGTCCTTTTGAATTTATCTAATGATTACATTTTTAAAATTGTGATAAAATACATATAACATAAAATTTACCATCTGAACTATTTTTAAGTGTACGGTTCAGTGGTATTAAACACATTTACAATGTTGTATAATCATCACCACTACCCATCTCCAGAACTCTTTTCATCTTGCAAAACTGAAACTCTACACCCATTAAACACTAAACCCCATGCTGTCCCTCCCTGCAGTCTCTGGTCATCACCATTCTGCTTTCTGTTTCTATGAATCTGAGTATGCTGGCTACCTCAAAGTAAAATCATACAGTATTTATCTTTTTGTGACTGGCTTATTTAACTCAGCATGTCTTCAAGATTCATCCATGCCATGGCATATGTCAGAATTTCCTTCCTTTTTAAGGATGCGTAATATTCTGCTACGTGTACATACCACATTTTATCCATTCACCTGTTGGTGGACATTTGGGTTGCTTCTACCTTTTGGCAAGTGTGAATAATGCTGTTACAAACATGAATGTACAAATACTTCTTTGAGATCTTACTTCAAATTCTTTTGGGTACATATGAATGATTTAGATCTTAATGCAATTTCAGGTATAAAAGCAGGGAATACGCCAGTAGTATTCCTGAGAGTTGAGCCGCAGTCTCTGAATATCGCTAGAAAAAGGTGCTCATGAGCTTATGAGGAAGTATATCACAGTGGTTAAAGAGTGTAGGCCTTGGAATCAGACAGAACTAGGTGCAAATTCTTGCTCCACTCCCTCCTATTGTATGTCCTTAGGGAAATCAATCATCTCTGTAGGTCTCAGCTTCCAGATCTATAAAGTACAATCTATTGGGTGGCTGCAAAGATTAGTTAGATAACGTACCTAAAATACTTAGCACATAGAATATGCTCAATAAGCAGGGACTACATACAATCAAATAATTCTTTTCCTTAAGAAAGTTTTTATGATAAACCCAAAGCTGCTTACTTATAATTTCTGTGCATTTGTTCTATTTCTACCCTCCAGAAAAAACAGAGACCATATCTAATCCATCTTCTATAGGATGACGCTTCAGGCATTTAAAGAGATTTCCACTGGGAACTAGTCTGTGGGAGAAGGAAAGGCCATTTTATTTTGTATTTGTTTATGAATTTCTGTTCAGCATATCTCTTCTTCATTTAGAGAAAGCTCAAGTATCTGCGTGGGTGACTCTTCAATTTTTACTTCTCCAGAGACAGAAAGCAAAATTTTGTTTTCCCAGAAAACTTTTCCTATAATTCAATTAATACAATTTTCATGCTTTATAACAAAGGTATCAAATAGAAAAATGCAAGCTGGCCTAGGAAATTACTAATCTGCAGACCGTGTTCAAATTGTTTTTAGAAATTCCTGTAAAAAAAAAGCACACTAGTTTCTAAACTAGTGTCCTCTTGAAAGGGGGCTTATTTTTTAAGGTATATTATTATTTTTATTATCCATATCTCTACTTACCTAACGCTTTAAATGGTTCCAGAAAGTAGTTTCTTTTTATAAATAAGAATTAATATATATAACAATATTAAAATATTTAGGGAATACATAAATATATATTTTTTTGGAAAAATGACAACTCTATTAGCACAGTTTCTCATAAGAAAATTGGGAATGGCTTTCTTCAAGCCAAATGTGGCAGGTGTCACTGTGGTAAGAAACACTTAAGCTGTTGTCCCCATGATGCCAAATATTTAACGGAAACCAAAAAAATTCAGTTCCAGATGACAATATTGGGCCTACATGACATCATTCATCCAGATGCGCGGAAAATCTGGATTTTTAAGAATTGAATTTTTGTGGTCAGCATCATGAAGACTCAGTTTCTGGGTTAAATAAGGCATTTGTGAAACAAAGCCATATTGGAATGCAACCTGTTTTGATGATAGAGAAATAACTGAATGGAACACAGAGTTCAAGTTCAGTGATGTGAATAACAGCTTATATGAGGGGTCTCCAAAAAGTTCAAGGAAGGATTCATATTACATTTTAATTCCATTTTTCCACGAACTTTTTGAAGTACCCTCATATAAAACATAGTATGTAAAACAAAAACAGGACATTTCAAAGCTACATTTTTGAGGCTCTTAATGAAGCAACCTGAGCATACCAGTGCTTTGAGAAAATACACAGCCACCATCCCCAGTTCTCCCCTCTCACTGAGCTTGAACACATAAGCCAAACATATAAAATTAAATTATGTTCTTCTATTTTAATGCTCTCCAGGTAATTATGCAACTTCAAATTCACTAGGAAAGTATTTGAATGTTTGAAGGTATGAAAAAATAAGCAAATAACTGGAAGAATTTTATGGGAGGTACTGAATAGGAGACTTTAATCCCAGATGCCAAGTGCAAGCCTGTTTAAGAAGAAACAGCAGAAGCGGGAAATTCAAGAGTTAACCTTCTCCCTCCCATGTTAGCTCCCCTCTCCTCCCAGCTGCCTCCTCCGCGGATGCTGTACTTTCAGTGACCCTGCTTCAGTGTAAAGAAGGCTTCACATGTGAAGCAGTTTAACCTGTGCTGTCGACATAGCAGTAAACTAAAGTCCTTTGCAGAGGGAGCAAACAGACCCAGGAAGGCAAATCTATCCCGTTCATGAGCACCTGGTCATAGTTTTACAAACAAAGATGAATAGTTATAAATTAGGCATCTGGATATTACACACCCAGGCTTATGCACAAAATTGCTCAGAAAATTTTTTCAAACACCGTGCTAAGAACCTCATGGAGAAAATACTTTCCTTATGTCAATGATGGTAGTCATGTTCTAATTAGGAAAGCAGAGAGTAGTTCCTTTCAAAACTTGAATGTAATTCTATTTCGCAAACCTCTAAATAATTCTACACGTACTACCTGTAAACTCAAAAAGTCTTTCAACATTTCTCAATTCACAACAGCCATTCCACGACTTTTAAAAAAGATTTGTTCTCCTTGACCTGCATTAGCACAAAACACAACTGTCCATTGACAGGAGAGCACTAGTCTCAATCACCCACCTCAAGTATGACATTATATTCACACACGCCCCCTCCCATCACTGCACCTTGCTCCCCAGCGGCCAGCAGTAACCACTAACAAAACACCTCCTGCTTCTGGACCAACACCAGCAACTTAATAAGGCTCATAAACCTTTTTTTTTTTTCCTCTTTCTTTTAGAAAGCTTGCCAGGTTCCTGGGGACCCTATAACGAGTACAGAGGAGTGGCTGGTCCCCCCGTTCCCGGCATGCACTCTGATGTTGCCAGCAGCCAGATACTCCTTTCCAGGTTCTGAAGGGGTCTGCTTGCATTTAGAGAACCATGAATTCCTAAAAGAGGGAATATACACTATCTAGCACTGAGAAACTTTTCTTGCCATAGCAAAGGCAGTTCTGGCACAGAAGCTTTCCTCTTCTACCCTCTCAATATGAGAAGCAAAAATTGCAGGCAACCTTTTCTAAGATTTCTGAGAACACATGGAAATGTGACTGGAGGGCTGGGAAGGGTGGGGTCAGGAGGAAAGTGGACAGAAGAGGAGTTGGAAAATGTGGCCTGTTGTGCCAAAAGACAAGTTAAAATGCACCTGATGAATAATACAAGCTGCACCACATACAGAAAAGATGAGAGCGGCCCACCTGTGTCTGTTGAGGGATATTTACAAAGCTTGGATCCCGTGGTCCAACACTGACGAATCGGTTTGCGGGGGAGGTGCTGGGTGTCGAGTAGGCTGTGAAGGGAAGGGACACATGCGTTCAGGAAGCAGCACGAGATTGCACACACAAACAACACCAAAACACACAGTCTCTGAGCCTACGCAGCTGATTAACAAGGAAATGTGCAAACACTGTAGCTGGCAAAGGGATCTGGCTAGCAAGGGCATTTTAGACAGTCAAAAAGGGGTGGTGGGATTGGCTTCCAAAGACTGTTGGGATAAAACGATGTCAAATTGTCACTCAGATGAGCTAGTTTCTCCTTCCATCATACAAATTAGAGCATGCAGGACATTTGCAAAGTATACTTTACGAGTTAAACATGAGCCTGGGGTCAGAAAGAGATATCCTAGTCTTTAGAGCATAGGGAGAAAGAAATTAGGCAGGTAGGGGAGGAAAGCAGTTCATTTTACAACCTTGATTTTCATGCTGTCACACTCCTAAAAATCATGAAACAGTCTTATGCCTCTTCAGCTATAGATCAAAGAGGAGTCTTCATAGGAGGAATTAATGGGTTCCCCAGGAAGGAGGTGGAAAACCATTTAGAACAAGCTGTCATTATAGGCCCAGTAGAGTGTCTAGAATCTTTATGACACACAAAAATGTGCTTAAAATATTAACGTTTGTCATCTTCCTTCCTTGAACCCTTCTTTTCAGGCACAAACTGTCAAGGCCCTGTGCAAACCAAGATGTCACACTGGAACCTCAGCCACCACACTTCAGTTTACTCTCTTTTACACAGTCAATGGAGGTTTTGTTGGTTTTTACATTTATATTTAAGAGCTTTACTCTACTTTAGTGCAAAAAAATTCAGTGGCTTTGGTGTTTCATTGGCTCATGAATCCAAATGTACATTTTGTTTTTTGATGTCCTGCAATTCACATCTTTACCACAAACTCCAAGGATTTATTCACATTCTTTCTTTGTACTGGAATCTTTAGACTATTGCTTAAAATAATTTCAAATTTCTTAACAATAATTATAAAAGGCTTAATTTGGGGGGACTAACTCTAGACATATACCATCTACAAGACAAAAAGGATTTGCAATATTTAAAAACACAGATAACCGAGGGAACAATACCAAATTCCTGCCAGATTTTTTTTTTTCTTATTGACTTCACTTGCTTCTCTTATTTTGATTTTTCTGTTTTACAGAAAACTGCTCATACTTCTTGTTTGCCTTGTTAAACACATCTAAGTATAAAACTTCCACCCATCTGGCCCAAGTCCTTTTGTTTGTCTTTGTAAGAGCTAAGCCACCTAAGCAGATTTGTGATGGTCACATGGATGTAGCTGTGGCTGTGGCTGAGTCAAACCAGCACTGAACACAGGATGAGCACAAGGGTCCTCTGGTGGATAGTAATGAGAAACTTTTTGTTGTAATGGTACTTGTTTTAGGAGGATTTATCCAGTAATGACTTTGTATAAAATGACCTACATGTATGACACGTTGTGCTATCTAGTAATGCAAATCTACTAATTTCCTTCCTGGGCCATCCTATGTCAGACTAATTTGAACAGCTCTGAGAAGTACATCTGCATTTAGCCATTCTATGTGTACCTCTCACTTATTGGTCTGGGGGAAATTTGATTTTTTAAAAAGCTTAGTAAAGTACTCTGTTACTTGTTTCATTCATCCTATGGCCTTACTTTGATAGGGTTTAAGAAATACCAACAGAAAGTCATATATTGAAAATGATGAGCCATAATTACCTGGTAGTGTATTCGCTTGCTCCTAGAGCACAAAGAGGATGTGGGAGAGATGAGAAAGCTAGCAGGTGAAATAACCCGTTGAACCTGTTAGTGGTTAGTGAAAAAAGTGTTCTTTCACACATGAATAGGTAGGTCAGTTGAGAAGGTACAAAAAGGAAAGAAGGGTATGCTCAGGTACTGGACTGATTGATGACAGATGCTGAAAAGTGAGTCCTTGGTTTGATGGTCCTAGTAGAACAGTGGGCACTGTCCTGCTGTCTACTCTAGATACGTAGCAGGATTTCCTATGACATTTTTACCACACTGGTAACATCATAAACAAGCATGCTAATTGATCCCAGCATATATGCCATTGAGGGGGGGCATTTTTTTGTGAAGACAGTTCTCCATTGAGCTTAGCAAGCTTACTAAATCTGGAAAGGTATTTGTATTACACCCCATTATCTATTTTTGCCTGACTTAAGTTTCACCAGTTAAAAGAAGGCTTCGCATGCAAATGATTGCAGTCGTGATTTCAGAACATCTCAGAAGGCCTTTAATGCTCTCAAGGACTACTGAAACTTCTCCATAGTTTGTTCTAGTTTTTAAAAAAGAGACCAATGGTGAGAGAGGTGTGAGTGTTTGCATTTTTTAAAAAAAGGATATTACAACTACAAAAGCCTGGGAATTTTTGAGTATCCAAGTCACGGAATAGGACAAATTGTGCCCAGGGAAATTTATTCTATAGAAAGCTATCTTCTGGGAAAAATCAAAGACACAGGAAAAACAAGGAAAGGAAGGAAGGAATTCTGACTCATCTTCCATTATTATAGTAGGGTGATCATCTATAACAGGATGTCGTTCCAGAAATGACATGACATAAGTTGAATCTGATTTTCCCAAAGAAATAGTGGAATAAGGAAGTTACACTGTTGAACAAAATCTCAACTAAAACTTTTTATTGAAAAAACCACATATACCATAGTGAATCAATTATACATGCACAGTTAAGAGCTTTCAATATGAATATAAAATCAAATAAAAGGGGCAACGTGGTAATCAATTATATACAACTGCGTTTACTCTGATATTATATCACATTCATATCCTTCTTAGTCATAATTCTGGCCTTATTTACAATAGCAATAATGAAATGCAGGAAGAGTTTTGGGAAATCACAAAACTCAGAAAATAATTCTCTGGGGAGATTATTGTAGACATTTTGGAGAATTCTGGAGGGAAGATTCAGGAGTACTTGATGGCTTTTAGATTATAAAATTGTGGTAGCCAACATAGAATGCTGTCCAAGAAAAAAATTCACTTGAGCAGGATCAAGCAGATAAAAATTAAAGAAACTTGATAAATGCAACAATTCGACAGAAATCAATCTGGCCATATAATCTCACTGTAAAAAACCTTGTGGCAAACACGACTATTAGAAATCAACTACTGATTATTTGGCTGCTTCCTAGGATATCAGTTTATTTTTTTTCTTTTTTTAAATAAGAAATGTATCTAGATGAAAGAATCACGTAATTTCCAGATGAATTAGTTCTGAGTCTGTAATAGCCTTCACTCCACAATTACACATGATCGTGATGTTAAGAATGTGGTCAAATTGTTTTGAATGAATATACTTAGTGCTTTCCTGTCTTTGGAAAAAAACATGACTGAGGAATTAGATATTAAGATACTAAAAAATGTGTACCAATGTCAGTTGATGTTTCTTTAAGATAAAAACCATATTAATAAAATCACCAAAATCTGACAAAGTAAAAAATATGAGTCTGCATTGCTTCTTTTGAAAGTAGGCAGCAAGTCTCAAGGTCTAGTTCAAATTCAGCAACCACTGGAATATGTGTAATCATGGAAAGGCAGCAAAAGGAGAAAATTTAGATAGATTCTGTGTGGAGGGTGAATCTGAAAGGAGAGCTGCCCTTTGAAAGAAGACCCCCTCCCTGTGCCCACGGGTGCCCCTAGGGAAGCTGAGTGGCTGGCGCCACCTGGGGCTGACTGCCTGTGTGAGGGAAAATGAACGCATTGAGTCACCTGGGCAGGAAAGATCACGTAAGAGACCAGGTGAGCCGTGAGGTTCTGACCGAGGAGGTTCCGTCCACCCTGGCAGCCTGGCCTACAAACTGATAGAAAGTTTGAAGAGAAATCTGTCTTCTGTTTTATCAGACTCCAGCTACATGGAAGTGAACATGCACCCCTTCGTCACTCCCTTAAACTCCACCAAGCCCAACCTCTGGAGTACATCCAAGAGAGATGTTTTAATAAGTTCCCATTCTCTCTCTCTCTTGCTCTCTTCAAAAGATACTTATTCCAACACTTGCTACGTGCCAGGCATCATGGGGATACAAAGGAAAGCAGGATACACTGCTATCTGCAAGATGTTAGAGTCTAATGGAGAGAGAGAAATACAGTCAGTGAAAATATGAGTGCCTAAAAGTAATATAAAAATCTTTGGGGTGTTAAAGGACAGAAAAGTGACACCTTGAAGGAGGAACAGGAAGAACTTTATAGAGGAGACAGAGATGGCTTTGAGGACAGGGCTGGGTGACAGGTTCCGGTGGACTGGAGGTCACAGGGGAAGCAGCACCAGCTGAGAAACAGAGGCGGGGGATGGAGGCCTCAATTGCTGAGGGAAAGGAGAAAAGGCAGAACCTTCCACATTACATTTTTGTCGTAATGAGAGGGAAGGTAAAATTTTAAGGATCAGAGCCCTGAATGCTTAAAAACGGAGGGGAAGAAAGCCTGTTGAATTCACTTTCTTTTAAAAGGAAGAAATAACTTATAAACAAGATACCAAATTTCACTTCTAAATACCATTAAGACAACTAGACATCCTCACACTCTAAATGTTTCCTGTCTTATCCTAAATATCAACACACACTTTCAGATGTTCTCTCATTTTCAGAAACTCAGACATATTCACGACTGGGGTTTCCCTCTAAAAATAACTAATTGAAAATTCTATTTCATTAAAAATAGACTTACTATGATTCTACTACCTGCCCAGGAATGTGCTGGTTATTAAACAAATGAAATCAAAACATATTAGGAACACAGACTTAAACAGAACCCTGTGTATTCAAATTGTAATTTTTTTTAAACGTTTATCATGACACCTGACAGTGAAGGAAAAGCCCATAAGAAAGCAATCAGTTGCAAACTGAAACAGTGAGATGACTAAATACCTAATTGTATTGAAATAGTTTCTGAATTTTTTAACTGCACTCATATGTTATTAAAAAGAAAATAAGCCCTGTGAGAAAATCTTTCTTTCTAAAAAAAATGTTAGAAAATAGATTGGCTGCTTT